ACTGGAGTAAGAGTGAAGAGTGTCTGATGGAAACATGACTGTTACTCACACACACACACACACACACACACACACACACACACAGCTCGCATTCTGCCGTATTTTACTCTCCCGCTTTCATCCTGTGAAGCTGTTTTCCTGTATTTTCAGTCTTCCTCTGATACTGCTGGGGGCGCTCCTGGCTCTTGAATGCGAGTGTTCTGCGCTTCTCTTTGTTTGGGCATGAAAACACTTTAAATACAGATAAAACAGCCGGATTGCCTCTCCTTTCATCACAGGTGCCGTCTCCTGTCGTCTGCAGTCTTCATCAGTCCTGTAGCGCTGCAGGACTCAGCTGGGCTCTGGGTGTGTGTTTGTACAGACAGACGCTGAATGATGACGCATTAATGACCTGATTCTGTTCATTGATTACAGCTATTCATCTGAATGATCTGAGCTGTCTGCTGATGTATCTGCTGCTGATGTTCAGTATTTACTTGTTTATTTGTAAATAATAATAATAATAATGACGTTACTGACCGTCTCACTCTCACTCACAGCCCAGAGGAACACAGCCAGTCAACACAGGGGGGTCCCTTAATTTCACAATCCACTGTTGACTGGTGTGCTTTACACACTGTGTGTGTGTGTGTGTGTGTGTGTGTGTGTGTGAGACCTGTCTTGGTGTTTCCTCCTTTATAGCTGACCCTCTGGATGGCGGTGAGCAGCTCCTCTTTGCTGCTGTGTGAGCTGAGGCTGAACTCTGTGCGCGCGTCGTCACTGAACTGAGCGATGGCCACCTGACAACACAGCATCACACCTTAGCGGAGGACAGCTGGAGATGACCAGAGAGTGTGTGTGTGTGTGTGTGCGCGCTGCTCACCTGAGTCCCGTCCGGCCCGATCTGATCCAGAGCTCCAGCCGTGCTGTGCAGGAAGCGGATGATCTTCTGGAAGTTATCGTCTCCGATACTCCACGAGCCGTCCACCAGGAACACCAGATCAGCTTTAGCAGCTCGACACACTGACGCACACACACACACACACACACACACACACACACATGAAGCATCCGTGCTCCTCTTACGTGCGCTGCTGTTCTTGTGCTGCTGTACCTTCTTTAGTGGCGGGCAGGGTAGGCGGAGGGGCGGAGCTGCTGGCGATGGTGGGTGGAGCCGTGCTCACAGGAACTGCACACACACACACACACACACACACACACACACACACATGATGATGACGAGTGTTCACTGCTGGATCAGTGATCGTCTGCCTGCGCAGCTTTAGCTGAGGGAGATGACCATCACACTGGCTCTGCAGACCTCATGTTCAGCAGCACACACGCACACACACACACACATGCACACACACACACACTTACGCGTCCTCTCGGTGGTGCTGACGGCGGGGCCCTCGGTCTCCTGCAGCTGTGTGTGAACACTGATGCTGTACTGTGTGTTCGGGCTCAGCTCACTGAAGCAGTGTCTGGAGGCGGAGCCTGGCAGCCTCATTTCCTGTTTCTCACCATCTGAAAGAGTGGAACATGCTGAAAACCCGAAGACTGACCTGTCTGTGTGTGTGTGTGTGTGTGTGTGTGTGTGTGTGTTTATCTGTCAGCTGCGCACACACTCACGGAGCTGCGGCTGCAGGACGAGGCGGTACTGGCTGGCGTGGCGGTGCGGCTGCCACTGCACACACATGCTGGTCGCCCGCACCTGATAACTGCTGAGGTTACTGACGCCCAGATACACTGCAGACACACACACACACACACAGAGATGGTCAGAAGAGCAGATGGCAGTCTCTATCACACACACACACACACTCACACACACAGAGATGGTCAGAAGAGCAGATGGCAGTCTCTATCACACACACACACACACTCACGTGTCTGTGCGCGTCCGCTCAGGGCGTCGCTGGAGCCGGTGGTGTAGGTGGCGATGACCTTAACGCTGTACTCGGTGCCGCTCAGCAGGTTGACGATCAGCATGGTGTTCACATCGTCACCCACAAATGTCTCCAGAGCACGCCCACCTGCAGGGGTCAGAGGTCACCTTTACAGGAAGTCAAAGCTGTTTGCGGGAGGTCAGAGGTCAGGGGGTGTGGTCTGTACCTGTCGTGGGCTGGTAGACGATCCTGTAGCCCATGGTCGGCGAGGGCGGAGCAACCCAGCTGATGCGGAAACGGTTATACCACTGCTCCGACACACGCAGACCACTGGGGGCAGACAGAGGCACTGCGGGAACACACACGCACACACACACACACACACATGCACACACACACACGCACGCATGCACATGCACACACACACACACACATGAACACACATGCACGCACACACACAAACATGCACACACACACACACACACCTTAATTATATGTTTTAACGTGTGTGTGTGTGTGTATTAAACGTGTGTTTTATGAGGGTGTGTGTGACCCGGGGCTCGCTCACGTGTGCGGGCGATGCGTGTGATTGGTGGAGATTCTCCGTCGCTGTACACCGCACACACACTCAC